TCTGTTTTATGTAATTTTTTATATTTTATATTATCAATAAAGATTTTGTGAAACTACCGCACTTAAAAAAAAAAAAATTAATAAGGCGATACTTTCATTTTATATATATAACATTTTATTATAATTATTATTTTTACAAATATTAAAATAAAATATCTAAAATTTTGCTATTAAATCTGCCTTATCAAAAATATTGCTACATCAATTTTGTAACACATGAGATTTTTAAGATTTTGCTATTAAAACTATACTCTGAAACATTTTTATATATATCGATCATTTGTTGATCATTGCTAAAATTTACATCAATCATTTCTATAAAATCTAATTTTAGATATTTGATTGAAATTACACAGAAATTTAAGTATTTTTGCTAGCCAAATTACTTGTTTTATTAATAAGCTAATAACCTCTAAAAATTTAATCAAATAAAGTTCATTTAATATATTAATAATATGAATCAAAAATCTCATTTTTTGTTGAAAGATTTCTATAATCCATTTTTAATAGCACAGCTCCAATATGCTAATAACTTGAATGGTTAAAACTAATCAAAATTTATCATAATTCCTAAATGGGAATCAGCAGTTTCTGATGTAAAAAATCGTGAAGAATAGGTGTGTCAATTCATAATGGGAAAGTTTTCCAAATTTCTCTATTATAAATATCAGTTATCAGTTCAGTATCATTCCGATTAATCCATTTTTTCAAAAGTGATTCAAATCCTAGTTGCTGATACATTATAATTAATTGAGCCTTCAAAAATAGTAAGGGAAAAATCATCTTTGGTTTTCTAATATAACCTTTAACTATCGATATTTGTTTTATTATTTTTATTCCATAAGGACTCCTCTGACCTTTTCTCAGATGATTTGAAAATTCTACATGGATTCATTTAAACCTATTATTTGACTAATTGTTCACATTTTTTTGCAAAATTTCTGAAATTTTATATAATGTATTACAATATGGACATACTGCATATATCTTTGCTTGTTTATCAATTCCTATCTTTTTTTTGCATATAAGAACTTGTAGGAAAGTCTTTAAAACAGCATCTAATAAAACTATATTAAAAAACTTAATAAGTGAATTAATAGCAACATCAGAAAGGTAAAATCTTGCTTGAAACTTGAATATCCATAACAATATCTATGGATCATTAAAGTTAACATTCATGCCAGGATATTCATGATCTGATTCATCAAAATCATCAAAATTGGGAGCAGTAAATCGTTTAAACAGAATATCATCTTCACTTAATCCACAATCATCATCACTAAAGATAGAGCTGTAATTAATTTTAAAATTTTTAGCTAGTTGCAACTTAAGTTACAACTCATTGAGTTGCAACTATTTATAAATTTTTATATTAAAATAAATTTTGCAAGGAATTGCAACCAGTTGCAACCCAAGTTGCAACTTACCGAGTTGCAACTTCTTAATTACAGTGCCATCTTTAATCATCACTAAACCCGTGATCATCTTCTGTTGTAGATATATCATCAACTTCTTCTTCTTTGATTAGAATTGGTTCTAATTTATCATAAATAGGATTACGAAATTTATTATATCATTTTTGTTTCTTTTGTACATCAATTGTTTTCTCATCAATTGGAATTGGATCATCACTAAAATAATTATCAGGTGAATTTTGATATTGATCAACCAATTTGATTCTTTCTTTTCCTTTCAAAATTGATGATATTTTTATATTGACCTTATTACTTCTAATTCTTCTTGATCAGGTAAAATGCTAAGATTCAGAAGTAATAACACGAAATCTTTCTAATTCTTACTGATATTTCTTAAATGTTCTAGGATCAACTAATTTACTACTATAGCAATGTAAAATACATTTGCATTCAACCAAATGCCTAATTTTAAGAGTATTATGATCTTTTGCGAAACCTTTATTATCAAATTTCTTTGATCTTGACATATTTGTAGTTTTAGGAATAATATTGCGATATTTTGTGTTATTTTTATAAAAATGGTTTCTTTTTAATCTTGTCATATTTGATGAAAAAATTTAGAGAAAGAAAAAATATTTACCGATTTTTATTGATAATTGGGTCTTATTTATATATTTACAAAAAGTATATTTTTAATATATATTATCATTAATTTTTAACAATACTTTAATTTGTTAATAATATTACTAATTTGTATAATACAATAAGTCTAATATTCATGTATTATCAAAAATAATACTTTAATTTATTAATAATGTCACCGATTTACATATATGTATTATCGTTAATTTGATAATAATACTTTAATTTATTTAAAATATTACCAATTTACATATATGTATTATCGTTAATTTGTAATAATATCTCTAGGATTTCACCAATCTGGATTACAATTATCAAGACCGTGATTTTTTAATTTAATTATGCAAATCATTTAAGACTGCAATTCCTTTCAGTCTACATACATTATAATTGTTTTCAATATGTATAATAATTATTTTAATTTTAAGCATTTTTTTTAATTTCCAAATATTTTTTTCTATGCAAATAATAAAAAACATTATGTCTGATAATACTGAACCAAATCGCAAAAGACAAAAAACCTCACTTGTTTGAAAATTTTTTGAAATTCGCAATAATCATTCATGCTGCCTTTATATCTTACATCTAAAATTTATGGTCCATAAACTGCAACATTAACATTACAATAATATTTAGATTCAATTTACAATCAAAAAGCCAGTTTGAAAACTCAAGAATTATAGTCTAAACAAATCAAACGATATAATATTATAGAACAACAAGAACATCATAATGTAGTTATTCGTTAGATTGTATATGATCAACAATCTTTTCGCATAACAGAAAATAAGTATTTTCGTGAAATGCTTAATTTTTTGATCCACAATATACATCAATGAGTCGGAATCAAGTAGCAGAATTAGTATTAACCCAATTTCAAAATTATAGACCAATATTAAAAGAATTTATTGAAAAGATTCCAGGTAAAATAGCTTTAACCGCCGATATGTGGACTTCAACAATTAATTCACAAGCGTATATGGGTGTTACTGTACATTATTTAGATTTGGATTGGAAAATTCATAATTTTATGTTAGATATTATTCCTTTTTCTATTCGTCATACTGGTGTTAATATATCAGAAGCTTTATTAAACTTACTTAATGAATTTAATTTACAACAAAAGGTTATATCTCTTACAACTGATAATAAATCGGCTATGATAATATATGAAAGATTATTAGCAATACAATTATTTGATGCATTTAATAATTTGTCATTTTCACATTATCATTGTACAGCTCATATTATAAATCTTTCTATTCAACATGGACTAGAATTAGTTGATCAACATGTAAAAAAAATTTGAACTTTAATGACTAAGCTTAAAAATTCTACAAAACTTTGTGATCAGATGCGATCATTATGTTCAGGGTTGGGAATTTTGTATGTACTAGATAAAATTAACACTGTACTTATACTGTACTTGTACTAATTTTATATTAATTATTATAATGTACTAACTGTACTAATTGTACTAATTATTGTACTAATACTGTACTTCCTAATCCTGATTATGTTCTATGTATAATTTAGAATACAAAAAACCAGAAATTGATATGAAAGTTCAATGGAACTCAACTTATAATATGTTGATGAAATCTCATGAAATTCGAATCCCTTTACAAATGTTAGTTTCAGTAAATCAAAACTTAAAAGAATATTATCCAACAGATAAAGAATGGCAAATGATTTACCAATTAATAGTATTATTAAAACCTATAGAAAAAGGAACCCAGCTATTATATGCTACAAATTACCCAACATTAGCTTTAATTCATTGTGTTTTTAATGAAATTCAATATTATCTTGATAACTATATTGAGAATAACAAAGATATAAGTTTAGCAATGATTGCATCATCAATGAAGCAAAAAATTAGTGAATACTGGAGTATTATTGATAAATCTTCAATAGTAGCTACAATTTTAGATCCCAGGTATAAAACAATTGACTTTTTTGGACTACAAGCAGAAGATGCCAAAAATAAATTACAAATGATATTTACCTCTTATAGCACTACTTTTACTACTGAAAATATACACATTCCAGTTTCTACATCTCAAAATTTAAACAAATATTTTGCTTCTCTTAATAATCGAAATCCTTTAACTGCAAATAATCCTACACAAATCTCTAGTAAAGTAGAATGATATCTAGGTCATATTAATAATCCAATGGTTGAAGATATTGATAGTGATTCATTAATCTAGTGGCATGGTCAAGAAAGAAATTTTCCAGTCTTAAGTAAGATTACTCAAGATTTTTAATTATTCAAGCAACTAGTGTTTCTGTAGAACGTGCATTTTCTATTGCTAGAAATACTATTATTAAACAAAGAAATAAACTTAATCCAAAACAGCACGTGCAAGTCTTTGTCTTAAAAGTTGGATGGATATAGAAATTGGAATAAAATGTAAATGAGAAGAGTAAAAGATTATTTTATTTTATTAAATTTTTATTTTTTTTAGATAATGTAGCATCAATTTTGTTAAATTACAATAAAAATATATTTTACAATAAAGTATTGTTATAAATTATACAGTATTATAATAAAAATATCACACAACATAAAATCACAGTCTGGATCATTTTAGACTGCATAATAATTAGGGCAGACTAAGATTGGATGGACTGAATTGATGACACCCTAAATATCACCGTGTATTATTAATAATAATACTTTAATTTATTCAAATATCACCGATTTACATATATGTATTATTGTTAATTTGTAACAATATCACCGTGTATTATCAATAATAATACTTTAATTTATTCAAATATCACTGACTTGCATAATACAAAAAGTTTATTTTCAATATGTATTATCGATAATAATACTTTAATTTATTAAAATATGCATATA